TCACTATCTTCATAATTATAGTTACGAAGAATCGGTAATATAGTTATTATAATCTAATTTAATTTACTTGGTAAAAATTAATTGAATAATCGAATTTGCATGTTGAGAAAGTATAAGTTGTGTTGGAAAAGTTATGGGGTCTAATTCTACTAAAGCGTTTCTAGAAAAAAAAAACTAGAACCTAATAATAGAAGAAAACAAAAAAAAAAAATAGGTAAATTGATTTTCTTAAGCCTTTCACAATGGCATACATTATCATACTGGTCCTGCACTGCATCACACGCTGTATAGCTACCCTAATTAAAAATAAAACAAGTTATAAAGATAATTTAGATAAAGTGCGCATTTGACTATTTCTGTTATCTAATGGCTCATTTTCCCAAACAAATAATTTGCATATTATAAATGAAATTATTTGATGATATTAGTGGTAAGCTGGTGGTATTCTCTTCTCCTAATGAGCTACTTCTCCTGATTTCTAATTTCCAGCAAAACTTTTTCAAACTGTCTTTCATAAAATCTTGTTTAACAAAATTAGATAAACTACTTAACTATATTTAAAAATAAGTATTTATAAATTGGTATTATATATATAAGATTTTAATTTCACTGATTAATGTTAATAATTATTTTTATACTCTAGTACTCATGGATTAAATTGATGCGAATAAAAAAAGTATAAGATAATCAATTAAAAATAAGTATTTATGAACTAGTATTTTATGTTCATATTTTTAATTCTACTGATTAATGTTAATAATCATCTTTATACCGAATAAGAAAAAATTAGTTAATTAATTGTAAATAAACTTTAGTGATAAGTATTTATAAATTAGCATTTTATGTTAATATTTTTAATTCCACTGATTAATATTAATAATCATCTTTATACTTACATATTAAATTAATGCAAATGAAAAAGGTATTAGGTGTTAATTAAAAAGTATAGTGATATGTATTTATGGATTAGTATTATATGTTCATAATTTTAATTCTACTGATTAACAATAATAAATAATTTTTATATTCACAGATTGAAATAATATGAATAAGAAGATATTAGGTAATTAATTGTAAATAAGCTTTAAAGATAAATATTTATTAATTAGCATTTTATGTTCATGTTTTTATTTTCAATAAATAAATCATCTTTATACTCACAGCAAGCAATTTACTAATATGTTTATTTTACAACAATCTATTTGCATACAAGTTTATTTAATAGACAGTTTATTTTACCAGCAAGCTTATTTTGTACAGTTTTTCACCATTCACAGAAATGTTTTTTTCTTATAAATTACACTAAATTTAACCCTAATTCTAAACTAACCCTAAAAAACTGTTTATGAAATAAGCTTATCGGTAGAATAAACTGTCTATGATGTGAACTTGTTTGTGAATTGATCGTTGGTGAAGTAAGCAGAACAGGGTATTTAGAAATAAATATTTATTGTTATTTTATATTTATGATTTTAATTTCCTTGAAAAGCATAAGTACGAATGGTCATATGATTGGAATAATGCTGGCAAGCCAAAGGTACCAAATTGAGCTGCGCAATTCGAGCTGAGTGATTTGAGCTGCGTAATTCAAGCTGAGTAATTTGAGCTAAGTAATTTGAACTGAAACGATTAGAGATAGGTAAGGTAATAATATTAGTAATAATTACTTATTTTTTACTCCAATATTTACAAATATATATTATTACTAATTATTCTTATGATGAATAATTATTACTTATTACATTTTACAAATATAATCTGGAAAACAAATTTTAAACTTAATAATTTGCTGATCAGCTTAAGTTTTTGCTTATATACATATCACAATTTTTTTTATTTATTATTAATTATTATGCAAAAATGATAAGAAATAATTAGAAATAATAAATAATAATAGTTAACTAAACTTGTCTATCTCTAAAAATGATGATATGCTCCCAAGAAAATTAGTGAGATTTAGCAGCATTAGCTGGTGATTTTTCACCTGCTCGAAGCAGGCTGGCTATTAAATAAGAAAATAGCAGAATCAGGAGACTACAATGTGTGGTGAGAAGGGTTGGGTCATGAAAAAAGAAGGTTGTAGTGCTTGGTTTGTTGAAAGAGAATTGAGTATCACAAATTAGTTATTTGTCGATTCTTTAAATACTGATTGTAGTTGGTGGCTTTCAGTTACATTACTTTATTTGCATAAAATTTTTAAAGTCTGATGTCTCTTTCGATCCTATCAGGCAGAGTTGTAGCATACAGCATGTAACTCTGATTATTCTCTCCTGTCTTTTTGATTAGTTGATTCTTGTTAACATACATGATAGCATTAATAAACCTGGTTAGATAATGAATAAATCATCTTTATACTCATGGCAAGCAATTTACTGTCATGTTTATTTCACTAACAATTTATTCATATACAAGTTTATTTAATAGACAGTTTATTTCAGTTCAGCTCGCTTCACCAATGCTTCTTTCGTAGAAATAACATTTCATCGACAACTATTCACTGACAATTATTTTACCTACAAGTATATTTCACTGACAAGTTCATTTACCAATAGTTTATTTCACTGAAGCTCATTTCACTGACAAAATAATTCTGGTAATTGTCGTTAAGGTTAGGTTAGAATTAGAGTTAAGGTTGGTAGGATTTATAAAAAAAGCTTGTATTTGAAATGAGCTTTGGTGAAATAAACTGTCGGTGAAATGAACTTGTCGGTGAAATATACTTGTCAGTGAAATAATTGTCAGTGAATTTTTGTCAGTGAAATGTTATGTCTACTAGGGATTGGAACCGTTTAACCGTTTAAAATTTGCTCCATAATTCCGGGCAGAATTATGTTAGTCACGGGCCGGAATTATCTTAATGCCGGCCAAGTTAAACGGTTAAACGATTAAACGATTAAACGATTAAGAAAAATTTTAGGTGGTTCCAATCCCTAATGTCTACGAAATGAGTATCAGTGAAGTGATATATATCTATTTATTTTACTAGCAAGCTCATTTTGTAGACAGTTTTTTTACTAATCATAAAAATGGTTTTTTCTTATAAATTACACTAATATTAATGCTAATTTTAACCTAACTATGAAGAAACTGTCTGCAAAATAAGCTTATCAGTAAAATAAACTGTCTATGATGTAAACTTGTTTGTGAATTGATTGTCTTTGAAGTGTCATAAAGTAAGCAGAACCAGAATAAGAAGGGTGTTAGACAATTAATTGTAAATAAGTACAGTCAGACCTCATTATAGTCACTCTTGATATAGTCACAACCTTGTTATAGTCACACTATTTCTTAATCCTAGATATTATAAAACATATAAAATTCAACCTTTATATAGTCACACTTCTTTATAAACACCAAATATTTTTTCTGAACTTGGTGATTATATCGAGGTCTGACTATATTTAAAAATAAATATTTATTGATATTTTATATTTATGATTTTAATTTCATTAATAGCATTAATAAAACCTGGTTAGATAATTATTACTTCTTGATATTGTATTAAAACTTTAGATCCAATTGTAGTTTAATAGAGTAGACTATTTAAAAATGATAGTTCGCTTTTATTATATCTTTATAGCTACTGCAGTAGCGGGATTTTTATTTACAGTATATACGGTCAGGGTGGCCCTCTAAGTGTGGATCACAAGTCTGTCAAACCACATAGAGCGATCATGTGAATGAAATGCTGGGATTGCATAAAGACAAATTTTATCTAACATTTGTTTACATGATAATATCATATGCGTTCAAATGTCTAATGCAAAAACTTAACTTTTGCTCTTGCATTTCATTTACATGGTTCTTATATGTGGCTTGGCTGACTTGTGATTTGCACTTTGGGGCCATCCTTGCTGTATTATTTACATAAGTACATAACAATAAACTTGGTAATACTAGTGGTAAATATGCAGGTTTATAACCATCGTGAAGACAATGGTAAATCTGCAGATTTTATAACTATTATAAAGACAATTGTAAATATGCAGAATTTACAATTATCATGAAGACAATGATAAATATGCAAAGTTTATAATCATCATGAAGACAATGGTAAATACAATCAGTGTTGGCACGGGACAGCTTTAGATACTTTGCAGACAATTGTGAACAATTTTGAATAAAAAAACAAATCTAAATTACTCAAAATTTTTATTAAGATAACCTACTTTAATTTTTTAACCAAAAATATTCAGAACTATAAAAAATATATAATTATATCTTTTTTAAACTAATTTATTAAAATTTAAAGTCTAAATATTCTTTGGACAGTTGTGGACACTGTAGACGTTTGGATGTAGACATGAGCAAAAAAAGTCTTGGACATAGTAGACATGACAACACTAAATACAATATGCAGAGCAGAGCATAAAATACCAACTCATTTTACCAGCCATGCAGCCCATTGTTTCAAGTATTATTTTTGATGCATTAGAATAATTAAAATAATTTGAATCAAGACAATATTTTTGAGGCTAATAAATAAGTTGGTATTTTACACTCTAATACAGAGTTTATAAAATTCTGTAATCAAAGCAGAAACTATTTTATATAGAACAATAGCTTGTGGTTATGCTTAGTTCATTATTGCATTTTATTTTTAAATTAGTACGATAATAAAATTTATAAATTTGCATATTACATTACTATTATAAAGAAATAGTAATATACAGATTTATAAAATTCAATAATAGCTATTTAAAAAACTTGTATTTTATTAATAAAGATTTATAGCCTGCAACCAAATTTAAATTATAATAGATTTATTATTTTAAAGAATCTTATATATAAACTTTTACAGTAATAAACTTAATATATAACAATAGATTTTTTAATTTATATATTTTGTATTGTTTTTTTATTAATAAAATATTTTATATTAAAATTTTATATAATTAATTTTATAATAATATCTATATTTATAAAATTGTATAAAACCAAGATATAAATAATATAATTGTATATAGTAATTTTAAATTTTAATATAGCTCATTTTCTTTTTAATAGTATTTTTACTGAAACTTATCCAGAATTAGATTCATTAAATACAAGTATTTTAGCATTACAAAATACCTATCAGTTTACATATTCAGGAGATATTGAAGAAGATAAAATTAATTTAATAGAAGAAGAAAAAGAAATTAATATTTTAGCAGATAAACAGTTATACAATATGGAAAGTAATATTTTTTCAAACTCTCAAATTATCAATTTTTATAAAAAATATAATCAAAAAGTTGAAACTAAATTAATTGATAATGATTTTAAAAATAACAAAATACTTATACAACAAGATATTGAAGCATTTTGTCTTAAGTTTGATATATTTAATTGCTGCTTAACTTGAAATTATACTAAAAAAATTAATATTGAAGTAGCTATAAAAAAATAAAAAAATATTCAACTTTTATCAAAAGCTAAAAAAATATGTTATTATTAGCTATACTTAATACTTTAACTAGAAAAGAAAATACTACAGAAGAAAAAGATAAAAAATATTTAACTTATAAATATAAATTTGATGGTGATAAAATTTGTTTAAAAGCTTTTTTATTAATATATTATATAACTAATTGAAATAGAAATTAATTCGTAAACATTTTCTTGAACATGATATTTTGCCAATATCTCATAGGCTTAAAAATCAAAATAGTAATAACAAAATTTCTTTTAATAATATTTTACATATTTTAACTTCTATTTCAAATTATGCAAATATTCATAGACTTCCTTCTCTTGGTATAAAATTCAAAATTTTATAATAACTCTACTCAGAATCCTGATAATCAAAATTTTAATACCCAAACTTTCAATACCAAAATCCAAATAATACTAAAATCTTATCACTCAAAATCACAAACATCAAAATTCCGTTACTTCCAAAATTCAAACAGCACCAGATTTTAACAATACAAAATCTCAACACTATTTATATTGATCTTGATATACAAAATCTCAATAATATCCAAATATTAACATTGCTAACATCCTGACAATATCAATTTTGATAATATAAAACTCTAGCAATATCAAAGATCCTGACACTAGATAGCTATATGATATTATTGCACAAAGCCAGAAATAAAGATCTACAAAAGAAAACAGTTGATTATCAACTGGACTATAGATAAATAAAGAATTTGTATTTGACTAATTACTTTACTCTTCAACTGATTACTTTTTTATTAACTAATATAGCATTTGCAATAATATGTGATATATCCATCATATATCTATCAAGTAAATAATTACAATACTAGTAAATGATAAAAAATAATGATTTTAGAGAAGTTTCTTTTTTATCAAATTGATACCACACCTGTGTATAGCTATGAATAACATTAACTCTAATAAAAAAAAAAATTTTCTGTTATATAATTGTTTTCACTCTGTAGTAAATAGCTAGAAGTGTGAGTAAATTATTTTAGTTGATCTCTAAGGTCACACCAAGTTAATTTTTTTTTATCAACCCAAATTTCTCAAAAATTTGAAAAATTTTTTCAAATAACAATTTCTTTTTAAAAAAAAACATTACTTACTTAATCAAAATATAAAGATATGCAAAAATTACTTGAGTCTAATTCAGAATTTTCAGGATGATTTCCTTTATGAAATGTGATTGGTTGGATCTACAATTTTCAATATTATAATTAAGTAACATGTTAACTGTTTTAAACAAAAAATTAAAATTTTCATGATATTAATACTAAAATCACAATATTTATATTAAACTATTAACTTTACCTTTTCTTTTTAATTTTTTGAATAAGGGCAACTACTGAAAATAGCTCAGCAAGCGGTTCTTATTGTAATCACTAATTTTAATCATTAATTTTTTCTTTTTCAACTCATAAAGATATGAAACAAAACTACCAAAATCAGACCAAAGACAAAGAAATATTTTTTGCTTAAAAATTAGTTTTTTTCTTTCAAATAAATCTATTAATGCAATTTTGTATTTATATGATGATTCAATAGACCATCAATAATATATAAAATGCCTAATACTATAGTAGTTAAAAAAGATTAAGAAAAATAATATTCAACAAAATTTTTCTGCATTTATGTAATTTAAGAATGACTGCGTATTCTTCAAACAAATGCTATAAATAGTAAGATTATCAAAATATTATCATATAGTAGACAATCATTTGCAGAGTTCTAGATCTTTTTTTGAATATAGTTGCATTGCACTAACAAATTAAGGATACTTCTAATTAGAAATTTTGGTATTAACATTAGACTTGAGGTTTACAAATTTAAAATTACATAAAATTAGATCAATAATAAAAATATATAAACTCAGATCTATCTAGAGATATCTTTTCTAATTTCATTCTAATAATAATCTCTGATATAAAGATAAATTATTCTATTTGTATTCTCATTTTTGATAAATTAAAGTTTTTTCAGGAAGCAATACAGATTTTATAAGTCTATCACTAAGATACACTTTAATTTGTTAGTGTGGTGTAATCATGTTTAAAAAAAGATCTAAAAATATTTTTTACTCTGCCATATAATAATATTTTAATAATCTTACTATTAATAGTATTAGTTTGAAGAAAAAATTTATTACATATTATTTTTTAGATCTTTTTCGACTATTGTAGCATTAGCTATTTTATGTATTAGTAATATCAAAATTGCGTCAATAGATTTAATATAAATATTGTAATTTTAGTATTAATGTCATGAAAAATTTGAATTTTTTTGTTTAAAATAGTTAACAATATGAAAGCATTACTTAACTATATTAAAATTTGTAGATTCAACCAATTAGGTTTTATAAAGAAAACTATTCTAAAATGTCTGAGTTAGACTTGATCTTATTCTGATACTTCTTGATGCAATAACCACTATTGAAGTTGTAATAAATAAACTTTATCTCATTGGTATCATAGTTGTTGTGATTATGGAATATATAAAGTATTAAGGAGAGCAATTGAATAATTTTTGCATATTGCTATACAGTCAAACCCCTCTATAGTTACACTTTCAGAATACAAAAAGCTATAATTGTAAAGATGTGTGACTAATATAGAGGTATTTTCTATATAGTTATAAATAATTGGTAAAAATAAATTTGTAATTATACCAATTTTGTGACTATAAAGGAGGTGATTATAAAGGGGTTTGACTGTATTTTGATTAAATAAATATTATTTTTTTTTGAAAAGTAAATTGTAATTGGAAAAAATTTTTGAATTTTTGAGAAATTTGGGTTGGCAGAGTAATGATAAATGAAAAATTAACTTGGTGTAATCTTAGAGATCAACTAAAATAATTTACTTATGCTCATAGCTATTTACTGCAGAGGTAAAAACAATTACATAACAGAAAATTTCTTTTATCAGAGTTAATGTCACTTATAGCTATATATAGGTAAGATATTAATTTTAATTATTGTACACTTAGATAATTACCTACTTTACAGATATATGACAGATATATCACATATCGTAGCATAAATAAATGCTATATTTATTGATAAAAAAGTAATCAGTTGAATAGTAAAATAATTGGTTAGATATAAATTCTTTATTTTATCTGTAATCTAATTGATAATTAACTATTTTTTTTTAGATTTTTGTTTCTAGTTTTGTATGATAATATTGACAGCTATTTAGTATTGGGATCTTAGTATTGTTAGGTTTTAATATTGTTAGGTTTTGATATTAGATTTTGACATTGTAAGGATTTTGGCATTGTTGAGATTTTGACAATATCAGGATTTTGGCATTGTTAAGATTTTGGATGTCAAGATCAATACAAGTAGTGTTGAGATTTTGTATTGTTGAGATTTGTGTTAGGATTTATTGCTATCAGGATTTAAAGAATTTTAGTATTATCAGAACTTTTGTATTAAGATTTTAGGTATTAGATTTTTAACTATCAGAATTCTGGATAGAACTTTTTATAATTATTTATTAAATTAATATTAATATTAATTTTATTATTTTAAGTTAATATTTTAAAAAAGAAATAAAAATTATAATTTTTCTTCCAGCAACTAAAAGCTATTTAAGTTTATTTTATTTATATAAGTCTTCAATTATTAAAAATCCTGATTATATAATTAGCTCAACTAATTTTATTAAAATTTAAAAATTATATCTTTCTGAAATTAAATTTTTTTCTTCTAAAAGTGATTTATATATGAAATATAATATAATAAAATTTAATATTGGTTATATTCCTGATCTAAATTAGAACAAACAATAAATGAATAGAAAATTTATAATAATTGAGCAAATTTAGAAAGAGAATATTATAGGTAAATTTTTTTAAATTTTATTTTTTAATTAAAATTTATATTTTAATTAATATTAATAATTTTAATTTTAATTTAATAGAAAATATATTTTAAATACTAAATTTTGTATATCTAATATTTTTTCATTTTTATGTTCTAGAATTTCTAATAGTATTGATATTACAAATCATATTTCTTGAAACTTTGCAGAAAGTATTCAATTACCTTATTCTTCACAACAAGAAGTAATTTTAATATAATATTAATTGTTTTTTATATATTATAATTTTAATAATATTTTATATTTTTAAAGGGAGCTATATATTTTAAATCACTTTATAAAGTTTCAGTATTTGAAATATATGAAGATACTTTTTCTTGTCAGGTAATTATTTAAAATAAAATAATTATAGTATAATATAATTTTTAATTAATTAATATATTTAATATTTAAGATTAATTATTTAATTAAAAACAAATGGTTGGAAAAGGAGCAGATACTGTAATTTTATTAGTTCATAATTATTTTAAAAATTATGAACTTAGAGAAAAACATATAATTATACATGCTGATAATTTGCTAGAAAAATAAAAATAATGCAATAATTAAATATTTAGCTTAGAAAATAATAATAAAATTACTTTTAACTATTACTTATTCATTTATGGTTGCTGGATATACAAAATTTTCTTCAGATAGATTTTTTGAACTATTAAAATTAAAATTACAAAATTCTGAAGTTAATAATTTAGAAGATTTAGCACAAGTTGTTAGAAATTCTACAACAAATAATTATAATATATTTCATCTAATTATAGAAAATAATCAACACAAAGTAACTTTTTTTAATTGAACAAAATTTTTAAGCAATTATTTTAATACAGTTCTCCAAATTTTAAAACAGCATTACTTTTATTTTAGTCAAGATAATATTGGATATGTTATTATTAAATCTTTAATTGATAGAGCTGAATAAAAAATTAATTTAATTTGATATAATCAATTATTACCAACTATAGATTCATTTTTTATATTAAAAAATCACTAGAATTATCTGCTATACAACAATAGTATCTTTATAAAGAAGTAA